AGTAATTCACACATCACTGAAAGACCAATTAGAACTATTAGCAAGTTGCTAGGCCTGACTTCAAACTCTCTGCTGTATTTCACCCTGGAAACTTCAGAAGCAGCTGTGTCGCTAGAGAGGCACTGGCACCATTACAGTCAAAACACATAAACAGCTCTCAATTCACAAATGCTTATTTGGGTGCTTTACGTGTGTGTGTGTGGGGGGGGGGTATGATATCCCTAAAAGAAGCTACACACACACACACACACACACACACCAGTCTCAAACCTCTAGCTGCTGATCTTAATGATGGAACTACCATCAAAGCTATGGAAGGCTCTTCCCAGTCAAGGCTGTAAAGTTCCAGCAAGTGAGGATACACTGGCTACTCAGAGGGGGCAGCCCTCAGCAGCCATAGTGTCTCAGATGGACTCTCTTCCTGTGTTAAGAGTCTGTGGTAGCTTAGGCCTATAATCCCAGAATTTCAGGAAGTTGAGGCAGGAGGATCCCAAATTTGAGCCCAATCTGGACAACGTAACAATTTAGAAAGACTGTCTGGAAATGTAAAATAACAAAAAGGGTTGCTCGTGGTGCAGCACCGTAGGGAGGCCCTTGTTTCAGTGCAAAAATATAAATAAAAGAATAAATAAAAAAAATAAATTGTAAAAGTGTGAGCCCAGCTTTGAAGGATGAGCAAAACTGAGGCATGCCACTTTGTCTTTGTCCACCCAGAAATGACAGTGTTATGACTATCCCTGTGATTGTGTTGTTGGGATGATGAAGTGAGTTCACACTCACTGTGAACTGCACAATGCTGTGCTTGATACACATTCCCTGGAATTGCAAGGAGTGATTACAAACAGAGCACGTTTCAAACATCTCAGCATCGTCTTATGTTTTAATTACCTTGCTGAAACTACATTTAACTTGATTATTCAGAAATCTTATTGGAAAATTTGCAACAAATAAGCCACATGCCTGAAGTCACTTTAAATGGACTTATATACAAGAAGATCGAGGAAGGCATTATATAATTTTTACTGTTTTTCTTCAATCAACCTACATCTCCCTCAGTTTCCTTTATATAGTCAAAGTCAGGGGGGAACATGTTCTAGTTAGTGTGGACTGCTATAACAAAATATTATCTAGACTCAACGACTTAAGTGAATGTAATTTATTGCTCATAGTTTCAGAGGCTGAAAATCCAAGATCACGATGCTACTTTGGTCAGGTGTTTGGAGAGACCATCTTCCAGGCTGAGAGGGCTGGCATCCAGCCCTGTTCCCAGAGAGAGGTAGAACGGAGCAAGAAGATGCCACCTTCAAGAACTTATAAATCCAGTTATTTACTCCTAAGGGTTCTGCTTCCTAACACTAACCACATCTGAAGTTTGGAAGGGAAAAAACATTCAGTATATAATACAATTATACTTAACAATAAATAATGCATGTTCTTCATTCTTTTTGTGTAAGGCTGTTTATGGGTCCCTTAATCATTATGAAAAGCTGGAGAGATTATTCTGTAATAAACTGTCTAGGATATATGATTTGTGCTGACCACGCAGCTTTGCAACCACTCCTGTCACACTGGGAGAGGAGGCCCAAATAGAAGCCCTGTGGTCACCTGCCTTTCCCTCCTTTGCCCCTGTGCCCTTCCTCCCTGTCTGCCATAGCCCATGCAATAGAGCCCAGCCCCACTGTCCCTGGAGCTAGGTGTGCAAAAGTGTGCATGGTGGCCGTGGTGTTCAGCTTCACTCCCATCCTTTCCCCAGCTATGGAGGAAGGAAAAAAAGAAGTGCCAGGGATGCCAGGTAAAAGGAAGAATATAAATCAAGGCAGAGAATTTCTACAGGAAGTTCAGTACCAGCAAGTGGGCTTCCTGAAAAGCCCACAGGGCTTGTTTTGTGATGGTCATGTACATGAACCCTTCCAAGGAGATTCTATGTATTTGTCCTTTTTCTTTTCTTTCTTCCTTTTTTCTTCCTTCTTTTTTTTTTTCTTTTGGTACTGGGGATTGAACTCAATGATCTCTCACTTGCCAGGCAGGCAGTTGTGGAGATGAGCTATATTTCGGGCCCTTTTATCCTTTTTCTTAATTTTGAAAATAACTCCCTGGATTATTTCATGCCTTACAAATTCTGGATTGCTTTGGTCTGCACAGGCATTTAATTCTGGGATGTCTTCGTTGGGCTTTTATAGGTTTTTTTGTAGGGTTTGACATAAAATGTTGCTTCTGAGGAATGGTTTATCTGAGAAACAAATTAACAATCTATAATTTGTCTAGGACAGTGATAGGAACTTTAGAGAGCGTTCAATGATAAAATTGGCCTGCTGCAGCACACATGCCATAGGTTCACCACCACTGGTCTAGGATCTGGTAAACTGGCAGGTGTCTAACTCATTGGTTGACTTAATGGCAATGAAATAAATGAAGGGAAAATGAATACAGTGTGCTTGAAGAATTTATGGAGCCCTTCTCCCTGGATGGTGGAATTATGGCAATTTTTATTTTCTCTACACTTACTTGAATGTTTTTACTTTGTGTGTGGGTGGTACTGGGAAGCTGAACCCAGGGCCTTCACAATGAGCTACACCCCCAGACTCTCCACCCTTTTTTGAGATGGAGTCTCCCTATTGTCCAGATTGGATTAGAATTTGCAGTTCCCCTGCCTCAGCTTCCCAGAGTTCTGGGATTACAGGTATGCACCACCACACTCGCTTTGAGTTACCTTCTATTTTAAATTTTTCTAAAGTGAATATGTAGTATCTTAAATAAATTTTAAACTGGCTTTAAAACCTCACAGTGTGAATGGACTTTCATCTACACATATGTGAACTGTCTATTCTGTGGCCTGCTCTTACTTCTGAGGATGTCAAGTCAAAGGAGACCCCGAGGGGATGAAACGCAGCACTGGACATTAGAGAACAGGGTCCCTTTAGGGCCGGGGGTGCCTACGAGGGCAGGCAGGCGAGAGGAAGGAAGAACAGAGCACGCGGTCCTCCACGTTCCCTTTACACACATCCGGATACCTGCACATGCATTAGTTCTGCTTTACTTTGTCTGCCAGCATAGGTCTCACGCATGTTCCACAAGCCCCAGGAAGAGGTGATGACGCTGGATAAATTCAGCCACAATCCTGCTCACTCCTTTAAAGAAGGAACATAAACATATGTCCAATGTGAGGTTAAAATATATATTGAATTAATAGCTATTTGTTCATTTCTTACTACATGTCAGGCATAATGTGAAGTTTCTTATAGGCACTACCATTTCATTTTATTTTCCTTTTCCTTTCCCAATCTGCTTTTGAGGTCGGAACTGCTACTACATATCAACCCATTTTATAGATGAGGAAAGAAAGGCTGACCGAAGTCCAATAATTGCTGGTGGTGGTAGAGATGGGGGCTGGAAAGTCCTGATTAAAATCCCAGCTTGTTTACCCTTCCTTCTTAACTACTGCTTTTGGCAAGACGATTAAAAAAAATTAGGTTGCAAAGAAAAAACTTATAGTATAGACTTTTTATTATTTATTTATTAATATTTGGTGTTTTGAGACAGGATCTTGCTATGTCATTCATGCTGGCCTTGAAATCACTGTGTAGCCTATGCTCACCTCCATCTCAAGGTGATCCTCCTGCCTCAGTCTCCCCAGTGCTGAGATTACAGCCTGCATACCTGGCTGAATATGGGTAATTTTACAAAACAGAGTCCAAGTTGAGTGTTATGAACAACACGATAGTAGCCTTTCAAGGTGAAAAAGAAAAAGGTGGAAAAAGGGATAAAACAGTTTTTAAAAAGCTGATTAACCACACATTAATGGGTGATTACTAATCCATTTAATTAAGCTGAATTATCAATTTGCTTTTCTTCTTTTTAGGATGAATTTGCATTTCAATTAAGTATTTCATCACTGTCACAGCTCTGTGTCTTTTTTCATTTTCCAACTTCATCGTGGCCAACTACGGGAAATGATTCGGCCTGTGTAATCTGCAGGACCTGGGGAGTATCTGTTACCCTTATTGTTTTCTTGGGTGTCCTCACTCTGGGGGCCTGACATTCCTCGCGTGTCTGAGGCCATAAGGGAGCACTGAAGCGCGGGGAAGCCGCACAAAAGACATCCAAAGGCTGTCGTGGTAGAAAGATCAGTCCCGTGCGCGCACCAAACACCCAACAGACCGGGAGGAGAGAACAACACCCTTTTTCAGAGGGTGGGAAATCGGTCTGTGAGGGTCCACAAAGACGCGGACAGATGAAGTGTCAGGCGACGACGTTTCCAGACCCCCGCCCACGCCTGCAACCCTGGCCTCAACTCTGTGGTCCTCGGTGGCCAGGGAGGGGAGAGGGCTAAGAGCCCGCGCCGTTTCTACCGGGTCACCGCCGCTCCATCCATCTGCAGGCGCGGTGGAGGAGCCGGGCTGAGGCGCTCCGGGGCCGGGACACGGCAGTGGGCTGCGCCCGCTGGACCAGCGCAGCCGGGGAGGACAGCGCCAGCCCCCGCCGCCCTCCACCGGGCAGAGCCCCGCCGCCAGGCCCTCATCTCCCGCAGAGCTGGGTCCTCCGGCTTCGGCCGGCCGCGGGCCTCGCTGTCGGGGTCCCCCCTCCCGCGGGCCTGGCTGCACACACACGCACTCACCACGTGCACACGCGCGCACCCCCGGCCCTAGCTCCCGGGGCGCCGCGCCCCGCACCCCGCCTCCGCAGGCCCCTCCCCGGGGAGGACGCAGGACGCGCGGGAGCCGCGCGGGGAGGCCGGGCGGGGAGTGTCGCCGTCGGTGCCCCCGCCCAGCGCGCGCGCGAGCGAGAGAGCGACTGGGCGCCGCGCGCCCCTCCCCGCCCGCCGCCCGCCCGCCCGCGCGCTCGCTCCTCCCGTCCCCGCCCTCCCTCCCCGCCCGCCCGCCGCCGGCTCCGCTCGCTCCTGCCCACTCCCCGGGGACGCTCCGCGCCGCTCCTTCCACACTCCAGCTGGGAGCCGCGCCGCGCAGGACGGAGAGCTGGCCGCGCGCCGCCGCCTCCCGCACGCACGCTCGCTCGCTCGCGGGCCGGCGCCGGCTTTGGGCTGGGACTCCGGGCGGCGGGGCGCGCAGCCGGGACACCGTGGCGAGGAGGACCGGGCGGGGGGCGGCGGCCGGCCCCCTTCGGCCCCCCGCGGGCGCGCCAGGTAAGCGGGAGCCGAGGCGGCCCCGGGGCTCCCGGGCACCCCGGCGGGCGGGCGGGCGGCCTGGCGGTGTCTGCGCCGCCGAGGGGGGAGCCGCGGCCGTGGCGCGGTGCCCGGCCCGGGCTGCTGCGAGGGACGGAAGCTAGGGTGGGGAGCCGCGGGGGGCGCCTGCCCGCCGGGGTGGAGGGCTGGCTGCGGTGGGGGCTGCTGACGACTTTCGTCACCGGGGGGCCTGGGAGGCTGGTATTCGGCACCCCTCCCTTCCCACCCGCACCCCCACCGCCCTCAGCCTTCCCGCTGGTCTCTGGCTTTGCCTGCCTGTAACCACTGTACTTTGCAAGCCAGAGCTGGGGAGGAAAAAACACAGATTAGAATCCGTGGCGAAGTCTCCCGGTCCTTTCTCCCGCTCCCTGTGATTGATGTTTTTATGTGGGTGGTGCGATCCCCAGGATTTCTGAAGTTTTGACCTTTCCGGGGTGGCTCGTTTCGGTGCATCTGTTTGCCCTCCTCGGGATTGTTATTATTCGTGCCCATGCGTGGCAGCCGGAGGGTGCTTGTATTGTACGCTGAACAGATTTCACCCCTCTGCAGCCAGTTCGAGAAGTGTCGCTGCCGCGGCCGCCTTTGGTCTGCTGCTTAACGCCCTTCCCTATCATGCACCCTGCCCCCTCCCTCTACCGAAGGGTTTTTTTTTTTTTAACCCCTGCTTAGTGTTTGTGAGAGAGAAGTCCCTGGCTTAAGGGCTCTTATCAACCATTCATTCTTCTTCAGAAGCTCTGAATGGCTCAGGCATGTTGGTGAAATTGGGGTGGCTTTCTTTGCTCCAAGAGTTGCATGGTCAAAGATAAAAATATACACATATAAACACGCATTAAACCTGAGATATGGCAAGCACAGTTTGAGAGAAGTGATTTGTTTCCGATAGGAAGTTGACAACCTATGAGATACCTCCATTGCATGTGGGTTAGGAAAATTGTTTTAAAATAGACAGAGTTTATGCGCTGCCTGACTGGGAAGACCGCCATAAATTCAGTCATTGGAGCGACTCTGGAAGTGATACAGCCTGATCAACCAGAACCTCAGTAAAGACACACACACTCTGACACACTCTGACTCAGGCATTGGGAGGGGACTGACACACCGTAGATTCCATATAATGCTGTTTTTTTTTTAAGAATCTTTTTGGGGAAATGACTAGTGCACCATACAAAAGGAACCCCTCTCCATTCAAGGGGCCGGGTCCTCCTTCTACCTACTGAGAATAACTGTGCAGTGTGGTAGAACTGGGATTTACTAGGAGAGAAACATGATTGGAGTGGGCCTGGGCTCCTTTGGTTCTGGTGATGGAAGATGGTGTTTTTTAGACTTCTAGAGTTGGGTTAAATGATCAACAGAAAATGTTCTGTGCTATTTGGTAATGCAATTGATTCAACATGGAAATTAATTCGGTTTTGATCATCTATTTTTGTTTCTCTCCTCCCCTCCTCCCCGAGCAGTACTGGGAATTGAACCTAGCTTGCATGCTAGGCACACACTACCACTGAGCTATATTCCAGGCTCTTGGCTCCTGCTCTGCAACTTACAAAGTGGGAAGTGCCAGTGTGTATGATAAAACATGCAAGTGTATTTATAGACCTTGAACCCATGCTGGAACCAGTGCCTCATAGAACACACAGGCAGCATTGAAGTGTAATCTCTCAATGTTTCCTGCTGTACAAATCAGCTTCAGACGATAGCTCTAGATGACTGTTGGGGAGACCAATCAAGACAGGCACACTGGGCTTTTGGATCCTGGATCCAAGGAGGAGTCACTGCCTTCTTGTCTTGCTGTTATCTCATTTGGACCAAATTCCCCCCACCCCCCATAGCCTCCAGTGCTAGAGAAAACTCACATCCTCCAATCCTACAAGGAACTTGAGGTTCTAGCTTCCTTCTTTAGGGCTGACTCAGTTTCACTGTGAGTTGAGAAGAATGGTGATTTTGTTTGTCTCTTCTTTATCTCACTCCTACTCCCTCTAACTTTATGGTTTCTTCTGGGTTTCTGGGACTTAATAGGCCACTGTCTAAAGTAATTAGAGGTTTGTTTTTGTTTTTGTTTTGCACTGGAGACTGAACCCAGAGCTTTTGCATTGCACTATATCTCCAGCCCTTCTTTTACTTTTTATTTTGAACTTGGTAAATTCAGGCTGGGTTCAGACCTGCGATTCTCCTGCTTCAGTGGTCTAAAGTGTGAGGATTACAGGGATACACTGCATTCTGAGTGATTTGTTCCAGGCTCTTTGTAGCTCTCTTCTGTTGAATATTTTTGAAGTTCACATATCAAAGACTAGGCAGAGAGTGTCACTGGACCTCCTATTAGAGCAAAAGATGACAAGAGACTTATTACAGAGTTTTAAGTGTGCTAAGTAACCACAGGCTTCATTTGGATTTACCAATAAAACTTGTAGCCTTTTGAGGCACCTTTTAGGGTGTGCACATTTAAATGCACAGATCATGGGAGGGTCTGTATCCTTCCAAGCTTTATTTCAGCTCTATTTTGAGGATGGCCCAAGGAGAGAATATGATTGAAATCCAGTAGAAGAAGAGTATCAGTTAGCCGACAAAATGTTCAAATCTCATTGACTTACTATACAGTATTTTGTTTTTTCCACTTTATTAGAACCAAATATAAAGGGAGGAGGAGTAGCATTGCTTTGTGTGCTATGTATATATTTTTCTCCAGCTGTTCCACTGACATTTCAGACTGTGAGCACTGCTTGTTTTATGTGGTTTGAGCTGTTTTAATTTGAACCACTCCACGGGTGGAGTGAAATCCAAACTCCACAGAGACAGAGTGAGGGGGATGTTCACGTGGATGGATGCAGCACTCCTGCAGGCCCTCTGAGGAGCATATTGCTGATTATCAATCAGGTGAAGGCTGATGGATGTGGTCTTACAAAGCAAAGTTGTGTGAAAATGGTTCGTGTGTAAGAGTTGATTTGCCTCCAGCTTTTCGGGAACATATTGACCGTATAAATCAACTCAGATATCTTGTAAATAGGAATTTACTCAGATACTGGATGGGTCAGACTTAGTTTCATGACATGTTAGTCTTTTTAAAAAAGTTCTATTGTAGAAATGGATAGAGTGAATGGCACCCACCCAAGGGGGCAGAGGGTTACAGGAGGCAGTGTGGGTGTGAGGACCCCACACTGACATTTTTCATTTCAAATTTACTCTATAGTGATACTTGTTTTATTAATATGTCTTTAGTAAATAGGTACATATTTTGACTACTTCACAATCTTTTTTCAGTTTCAACTTTTTTTTTTTGTCTTTTTCGTTTTTATCGGTACCGGGGATCGAACTCACAACCACCTGTGAGCAAGGCAGGTGCTTATGCCGCTGAGCTAAATCCCCAGCCCCCAGTTTCAACTTTTAAAGCCCCATACTATGGGTGAAGTAAAAGTTGTGTTAAACAGATTTTCGATAAAGCATGAAAAGCAGATTGTGAGACAGTGTAAGATACTGCTAGCAAGCTACAACCCCCAGGATAAGACTTGTGTGCAGGAAAATTGCAACAATGAAACTATACATTTAAAAATGGTGACAGTTTTGACTTTAGAAATCATAATTCAAGAGCTTATCTGAAGTGGCATGTAAATTATATGCAGACATATTTTAAAAGTAGGCAGTTATTTAGCATGACTATCTCAGTTCTGAAGTTTAATTGTACAAGTTACAGTTGCAACAAGAAACAACATGACATACTGTGATTATGCAATTATGACAAGAGTGGTTGGACATAAACTGGGTTAGGATAAACATAGAAATAAACGTACACCAGTGTCTGCAGTTGCAGGCAGTCCGAATTTCCCGTATTTTCTTAATAAATATGTCGCTGGAAAATGTATTTCCTAGGTTATAAGCTAGTCATATAATAAAGATTGCTTTTGTCCTATACTTGTAAAAGTTCATGCAGTTTACCAATCTGAAATGGAATCTGAGGAGTTTTATTGACCAGGCTGCCGAAGGCAGGCCATCTCACTCACCCCGGTCAGTGAGCCCTGTGGCAGCCAGCACTGCTGCCTCTCGCACTGCACTTGGAAGTCACTCAATGAGTGATCCAAAGAATTAGCCTAATTAATTAAGATCTGTAATGTGTTAAAACCTCGAAAATCTACATTAGATGCAGACAGATAAATTTTAATACACTTGTATGGTAGTATATTAAAATTTCAATAAGTAAATAGATAAGACTGAGAAGGGCTCAGTGTGAAGGTCCTGGATCCATTCCTCAGCACCAGGGGAGAAAAGTTCCATTTTATGCCTTAGGTAGGATTTTTAAAATGTTGAAGCATATTTGTATTTGCCAGGAAAGTGAACACACCAAATCTGATGTTCTGTAAGATAACTGGAATTCCCAGGTAGGATATCTTAACTTGGAATGTGCATATTTTCCCTGTTTGATGAGTACTTCTTTCCTCTTGATTGTAATGGTATCTTTATCTTATTGTCTGACGGACTCAGTGGATAACATTGCCTCATATTTGTAGTGCGGCACATGGTTGCCAAAGAGTTTTCATGTCTCCTGTCCACTGACATCAGGCTGCTGCTTTAGTAATCGGCGTTTTCCGTGCTGCGGTATCTCTGAGAGTGTGCCTGGTGGAGGAGTCCTACAAAAACTCAGGCAGCGTCAACTCTCATTTATTAGGTTCATTGCTGCTACCCCTAAACTAACTTGAAAAAAGGAAAGCAGCTGCCTGGTGCAGTGAGCTCCCGCAGACTCCCTGAGGCCCGAGGCTCTCTCGGAAATCTCTTTTCTCCTCTCAGGCTATCTTTTGACCCCTGGCTCCTCTGCCAGAAGTCTCTTCCACCTTCCTACTTTTCCCAGAGGTTTTTCATATTTTCCTGTTCCACAGCTTTTCATCCCTAGACCCTCCTGCCCCTTCTCGCACCTCCACACTTGTTTGCAAGATGTGGGTCTTAGGGTTCTGCGTGAGCTGTCCCAGTATCTTCCCGCA